CAGTGAAGCTGGAAGATAACAAACTATTGACTGATAACGAGAAGGGGCACAGTCAGCACTCTCATGTCCTGCTTGGGAGTGCTAGTCCCAGAGAAGGCATCTAGGTAGCATGCTCCTGGCTGGAGGGAGCTTCACATGTCCCTGCTTTCTTATCTACCTGGTTCCCCATCAGCTAGGGATCAGCTGACCCATACTGAAATCTATTCTTTCCCCAAGTAAACTTCACCAAGTAAGGATCCTGCCTGGAAGTACTTGCCATGTTCTTCCCTTTAGAGGCAATATTTTATATTTTAACTTCAAAAAGTGTTGCTTACATGCCATGGAATTGCAGATTCCTGACTTTTTTTAGAGAAGGAATATCCTTTAATGCTAGCTAAGATGCTAGAGACTTAAGTGCTATAACTTCACCAAAAAGGCATTAACTTTTTCCTAGCTACCTCACTGGTTCCAAGAATGTGAACTGGAAATGGATGGAAATAGGATGTATTCTTGCCTTTTGTAATGATAGTAGAACCACTGAATATCCCGAGTTGGAATAAACCCACAAAGATCATCAAATCTAGCTTCTGGCTCCATATAGGACTACCAAAAAATTAAACCTGAAAGCATTGTCCTAACTCTTCTTGAACTCTGTATTCAGACATCCATTGGTAGCTAAATGGTTAAAATCAAAAGGTAGCTCTGGTTTTGTACTTGCTTTTAATTTCCTAAGGCAGCATGATTTTACTAGTTAGAAAAACTATATATATGCATATGTATATGTCCTGAATTAACTGTTTGTTACTGTACAAGTCTTGCACAAATTAAAGGTTGTCTTGGATTATTCACTTTGGAATGTTCATTGCAAGAGTTGTGCCAGTTTCTTCTTAATCAGATGTAACACAGTGGCAAGATACAACTTTGCAAATGTTTAATTATTTGTAATCTGATAATCTTGATTGAGTTTCTCTTGTAGATTACCAGACTTGCACAGTAATGAAAGTAATTTGCACAAAAGTACTGTATTGTTTTGCTTTATTTCTTTAAGTTAGATAACTGTGCAGATCAGTGTTCTGAATTATTATGCTAAAAGTATATGTTTAATTGCACAGTTTGAAAGATGTTACTCCACACTGATTATTAGGCATGAAAGGAATATATGTCGTTTTTAGGCAAGAGGGAGTTGAAGATGGCATTTATGTCCCAATAGAAGTTAATGTCCACGCTGAAGAAGGAAAGGTTCTGACCTGTCGAAGCTACCAGATGAAGGACTACGTTTGTGGTCCTCCCTCTCCCCAGTATAAAAAGGTGGGTATTGCATCTGGAGAGAGTGAACAGAAATATATAATGCAGCACTTGTGTCCTGTTTAATAAGTACTTTATTGACAGTGGATGAAAGGCATGAGTAATTCTAACGTTAAGGAACAACTTAATCCTTGTGCAATGTAATAGTGTAATGGTGCTTGCAGAACATCATAAAGATGTACTAAATCAGTTTTATTGTCTGCTTTAGTTCTGCTTTGCATGAAGCCTCTATTTAACTCATGAATTAGTGATGACTGACACGTGGATTTCCGAAAGATGCCAGTTGTTTCCAATTTTCTGTTTGGAACTAAAAAATTAAAATATTCCACTTCAGTGGAGCATAGTTCTAGGACAGAGGAAACTTCCATGGGGTGAACACAGTACCTGGCTTGTAGTCTAGCTATCTTCTAGTACATAGGTTCACCTGCCTCATTTTACCAGTTGCATCCTGAGTAGATCACAGGTTTCCACCACCACCATAGGGTACTGCGGGGTTCTCACTTGGTGTCTGGTGAGGCAAAAGTGTTTCAACACTGTTCTGGAACTCGCTGAGTGTAGAGAGACATGATTCAGTCTCACAGCAGGCTTGACCTGCTTAGCTTGCGAGATCTGATGAGGACCTAGCCTCAAGTGGCACGACTGCATGTCTGGAATTCTGCAGTTGTTAGCAACTGCAAATAGACACCACTGTAGCATTGTTTTTTTGTTTATGTTTTCTGTTTTTAACCAAAAGCAAAGAAACTGGGCTCAAGTCTGTTATAGCTCGCTTTCCTATCTGAACTAAGGAACTGACTCCCACAAATCATCTTCTGGGAGCACAGCAAAGACCTGCTTTGCTGCTGCAGGATTTCTTAAGAGAAAGCTTGCTTAGAAAGCAGGCTTTGTTATTTCACAAACTTCCCCCTTCCCCTCCTGCTTCCTGTCAAAACAGATCTTCAGGGCTTTTCAAGGAATCGATTCATTGAGTCTGTTGCTGCACCTGAGCTCTCCCTAGTATGCTGTAAGAGCAGACTTCCAATTTTGGCAACTTTATCCAGTTAAATATTCCTTCCTGCTGTTATCAGGGTAGGTTGTTCTCTACCACCCCACCCCACCCTCCTCGCACCTCAGCCAGATTTATTTGTTTAAACTAAAGTAACCAGGTAAGAAGGCTAGAAATTTATAAAGGTGACTGCATTTGCATCCATCTGTTGTTTACTTCTTGTGGTAAATTAATCACTTCTAGGCACTTCATCCTTGGGTATCCTGGCTGTTCAATGCATGAATGAATATTTGCAATACTGTCAGTTTCTAAAGTCTGTACATTTATCTCTTTCACTCCTATTTGACAGCTTGCTAGTGTGTCCTTCAAGCCTGGGCTCCTACAGCCTTCTCTTTTCCTCTCATAGTCACCAAGTTTCTCTTGAACTAAAAGTTCAGGTTTTCTTTTTTTTTTTCTATTTTTTTAAAGTGTAGAAGGAAAGATGCAGTAACAAACAAACTAAGGAATCTGTTTTCACTAAACCAAATATCAATTTCTGTTACTCCTGTAGCCTATCTAGGCATTCACTGTTGTGCTTTGGATTTGATCTGAATAACTGAATGAAAAACTTAATTGTGGACTCTTGAGCATGTTGGTAGCATTTCAAAATCTTAGGTAGCTTTGGTACCCCCTGGTTTTCTCATGTTGCTTTAAGTGGTTCTTTCTGTTTCAGCAAATGTTTGGAGGGATCTGTTTTTATTAACATTACTATTGAAGTATTTTTTTCCTTTCCTTTTAATCTGTAGGTTATCTGCATGGGTGCAAAACAGAATGGCTTGCCAATTGAGTATCAGAAGAAATTAGAAGCTATTGAAACTAATAACTATGCAGGACCGGTGCCAATCCTAGAAGAAATCGAAGCTACTATTAAAGCAAACAAAGTAAATTTTGCATAGAATAATTCTGTGCTTGCTTGGCCATTCACCTTGAGTTAGATCCTTCTCCTCGCTGTGCTGACCAACGGTTTATTTATCAAGAGAAGAGGAGCTTGCTGTATATCTACAGTAAACTATTAGACATAATTTGCAGTCTGGAGACACACTGACATTGACAACTTCTTCACTTTGAATTTATAGCTTAAGTACATGCAGATCGGTGAATTAGCTTTCTGTAATTCTTATGCAGCTCTGCACGCAAATTTGTGCTTTCTGTCCTCTTTACAGACCATTAAAAGAAAAGGCCCATTTTGCTAGCTATTTGCAGCTCAGTTACTCTCTGAGGAATGAGGGCTGCAGGATCAGGCCCTTTGTTCACAAATGTATACACAATTGTCAAGATTTTCAAAGATTTGTTAGAGTCCAGTCTACTCTGCACTCTAAAGCCATACTGAACTTTTGTCTGTGTTCTCACAAAGGCTTAAGCCCAACCTATCTGAAACTGTGGTGTTACTGTTTCCATTTATATAATTAACAAAAGAGAAATATTTTTAACTATTTCCATGTTTTAAAGTGTTAACCTGAAAGGGGACTCAGGCTTGGAAACGGCATTCAGCAAAGGATCTTACTTGAAGTATAACTGCCTCCCCTTTTCTAATAATCAGCATAGCTGAATTACTTAGGTACAAGCAACAGATTCTAAATAATCATTTTTGGATAATTCTGTGCTTTTTAACTACTTCTCTAACTGTCTTGGTTTTTATCTAAGATTTGCTGATTTCACTGTACTTCAGACCAAATCTGTGAATTAATCCTAGCGCATCTGTGTCGTAGCATTGTTTATTAAACCATAGGTGAACAGACGTTGCCTTTTTCTCACAGCACTGACAATCTCCTGCAAAACTGGTGGCACTTGTAAGGTTTACAGTACTTCTACAGTACTTTACAGTCTATGGTACATGGCAGCCCCTTGTCTGAGGATGACAAAGGAAAACTGGCAACCTGTATGATGCGAAGCTACTGAACATCGGCTTCTCTTCTGTGCCATAAGATATAATCAGTGTCACTGTGTGGCAGCTTAGATGGAAAAAAAGAAAAAGTAGCAAATTTACCATGTCTTCTCTGTGTATTTTTTCACTCCTGTGGACTTCTGCCAGGGATGCATGTAGTTGCTGTCCTGATGTCACGTACAACATGAGGGCTGTTCCTAAAGCTGGGCACCACAGATGCTGTAAAACATGGTACTTTTTTGTATTAGCATTGCCTGGTCTGAACTTGAGTACATAAAAATGCAGTTATCAAACCTCCCCGTGCCTGTGCAATGTGTTCTTTGGGAACTTATTTAAGCTATAAAGTGGGTGATGTGGAAGCATAACTGAAACTTTCTTTGGCTCTTTGTACTTCTCATGGATGCAATTTGCAGTATAGAGGGCAAAAACAAACGGCCCGGCACCTTAATGCCACAATCGCTTGCCTTGTTTTACCTTTACCGGGCTCCTTGGGCACTTTTAAGTGAGTGTTTTAGCAAAAAAAAAAAAAAGGAAAATAATCACCTGGCTGCCCCAGCGGAGGGAACTGATGGTGGGTGCTTGATGGCTCCTGCTGAGGAAAGCGCTGTGAGCCCGTGCAGGACGGGGAAGGGCTGTGCCTCAGGGGAGGAGGAATGGCCGGCTTTGCGAGGAAGACGCCTTCGGCCAGCTGTATGGAGGAGAGCAGGCTCACGAAGGAAATAGGCCTTCGGCGACGGCCACGCGGGGAGGAGCCGCTTTCCGCCCGGGAGGAGAGACCGCGCGTGGGGCGGGAGCTGCTTCCCCGCGGGCCGGGGCGGGGGCAGCGCCGATCCGCTCCTCCCCTTCGCGCCGTCCGCGCCGCGGTGAGTGCAGGGGAAAGGCCGGGACGGGCGAGGGGGGTCGGGCACTGCGTTCTGTTGTGCGGGCCGGGCGGCGGGAGGAGGAGGCAGTACGGCCGGAGCCCGAGCCCGAGCTCGGGGGTTCAAGGGCAGAAATCAAAGTTTCTGCCTCTTCTGCTGTCGCGCTCGAGGCTGTGAGCCGGTGCCACGAGTGAGAGCCGCGGAGCCGCTCGCTGGCGGCGATGTAACGCGCCTGGGGATGGGGACGAGAGCGGCGGGACAGGTTGGTGAGGGCCTTGTCCTTCGGAGGGGGATACAGACATTAAATGACGTTTACTTGTGAGCTTGACGGAGGATCCATCTGCGTGCAGTGACTCACACGGCAGTCACTGAGGCCTCGGTGCTTTCCTCAGTTAACGCACAAATCGGGTGGATGTGAGAAGTGAGAGCTGCCTGCCCCATTCTGGCGCCTGCACTTTGGTGCTGTTCTTGTACTATGTGAAATAGTTGATGTTCTTTTAAAGATGAGGTTACAATTAGAAACAGCTCTGAAATTAAGAATGAGCAGAAGTGAGCTCTCCTTTATTTGCTGTGTTCGAAGACATTGTGTCACACATGAATTAAGATTGGTAAAATCAATTTCTTTTTCAGTGTCTCCCAGAGACAGCAAATTCTTGAGTTTAGACTGTCTGAGTGAGCCAGGATTGCCATCGTTAAAGCAAACACATCATGATCCCCAGTTCTCCTTTTGCAGTAGCGACTCTGCAGTGGGATGGTTATCACTGTAAAATAGCTTGTCCCAGGAGACAGGTTTGTGCTGGAGGCACAATGGCTCGTGATTCTGAGGGAAGGAGAGCCACCTCTGTAAGAGTAACTTCTAATGCTGCTGACAGAAGATTTGCCAACAAATATGGGAAAGTCTCTCCAAGACTCCACTTGCCCTGGGCTGGCACTGAGGTGTATGCACATACTTAGCTGTTGCCCCTGCCAGAACTGGCTACAGGGCGCTGTGAAATCTTGATGATATTCCAGCCACTGGCTGCTAGTAGCTAGTGCTATGGCATGGGACTTCATTTCACAGAGAATTATAGGAACAGTTTTTGCTGGATTAACAAAACTGCAGAACAAAATTACTATTGATTTAGTTTTCAGCTCTTCAGAAGTATTGATGTTGGTCTCAAATAAGCTTCTCTCAGTGTCTGCTATTAATTAGTTTGCTCCTTCTATGGGCTTTGTTGCTTGGTCATACCCCGTCTATTTGGGAGCAGCTGAATCGGTGTGGAGTTAATTCTTCAGTTTACCCAAATGTGGAGTTCTTTTCAGCTATTGAGACCTTTCAACTTCTTTATCTACTTTTCCTTTTAATAAGATCTTGTTGTAATAAATGCTATTGCCACCAGTAAACCAGAGCATTCCTCACTCCAGAGGACTCGCAGAACTGGCAGTTGAGCAAGCATGGCAGTTTTGTTAGAAGGAAAGTAAGTGATCTTAGTGAAAAGAGGATATAAGAAGGGCAAGGCCAGGAAAGCTGTAACTGTATTTATGCTTGCACAATGCTGAGGACTTTTAAATAAAGGGAAGTCAGAAGAAGCACTGGATAGATGTGCAGATACCTTCCTTCAGAAGCTATCAGCAGTGCTGCTGCTTGTTGACATGGATTACATAAAACCTTGCTGTAACCTCTGATACTGTGAGAAATTTCACTTCACTTTTTCATTTCCCTCCTTATTCTAGGCCCGGTACCCATCTTTCTTCCTCTTTGTTATTTTCACTTTTGCAGGCTTACGATAAGCATCCCTTGCCAGCCTTGCAATTGCTTTTGACATCCCCTCTGTCCCCACTGACTCTTCATTCAGGCGCCAGGGCTGCCCTCTGTCCTTTCTTTGCCTTTACAACGGATGGGTGAGCACTCTGCTTTCTGATTCTTTTTAGTTCCTGATAGTTTTCTGTTCTCTTCATTGGTCTGAAGCTGCTGTCCCCGAAGAGGCTATCTGAATTTCCTTTACAGCATCATTGACAGCCTCTTGAGTAAACCATTCATTTTTTCTTTCCCCTTCAGGAAGAAGTCCATTCTATTCCCAGACAAGAAGCTCTTCTCCAGTTGTGCCTGTACCCTTGTCTCTCCATACCAGACCCCTGCTTTGCCCAGGTGTATTGCTCTTGCCTCCCTCTGTTCCTTCTTCGGTGTTCTGCTGATTTAGGGACTTCACATAGCTGGCAATTATTTCCATTTCTCCCTGTGTGTATATCCTTTGTACAAACCTCACTGCTAATGTTCAGCTGTAGCTTCTAGAACAGCTGATATCTCTTCATTGTAACTTAGTGACATCTTAATTGGAAATAAGAAGTTTGGGGTGGCTTTCAGGAAATTATTTAATTCATTAGCCCTTTCAGAAATGGGATGGCTGCTAAATGAGGCAATGGTTCTCCCCTTGACTGACGCACTGGAATTGAATCCAGCAACTGGAGTGCCCAATATAAGAGAGAGAACTCCGTGGTCTAGCATGTGATTGCTTCCAACACCTTTTTTGAAGCCACATAAGTGTTTGCCCTTAAACATACCCCAGCACTGTACATCTAGTACATCCATGTAATAGGAGACTCGGTGCATTGTAACCCCATCATCTATCACACCAACAGGCCACGCTGTGGAAGCTGGGACTCTTGCCAGAAAGAAAGATGATGGACTTGCAGATAAGTTTGGTACCTCATAACATCTGTGCATTGGTCGCCTGTTTCCAATCAATTTAAGCTAGACATACAGAATTATATACAGGTTTTTGGTGTTTTTTTAAATCTGAATGAGTAAGCACGTTTCTCACAGTGGTGAGGACTTTCAGGTGCTGTTGCACATGGAACTGCTATGGTAGGAAATTTCTGTGTTGGCGTTAGTCTAGGTAGAACCTGAAGTTTCTTCATGAAGCTGATACACTTTGTTACAAGCATGCATGTACCTGCCTTGCTGTTAACTGTACGTGTCTGGTTTTGTTCCAGTACCACTTAAGCTGTTCATCTGCCATGATGTTTTCTTAGTCCATAGATGGTGGAGGTTTTCCATTTTTCTTATTTAAAGAGATCAGTAAAAAATACTTCACTGTATTTTCTACTCTTTCTCCATTTCTCCCTTTGTGCTTGGCCTCACCTCCCAAAGGAATCAATCAGGTTCTCTGCTGACATAGACTTAGTCAAATGGGAGGCAGGTTTATTTGAGACCTTCTGTTCTTTCCATATTTTCCTTGTTTTAAGATGGAACTGAAAGAGTAAAGAAACCATTTCTATTTATTTTCTACTCTTGACAGTCACTGGTCCATTACTGTGCGTTCCTGGATATTTACCCTAGTTGTCACAAACTAGAAAGAAAGAACATGGTCCTAGAAAGCCAAAGGAAGCAGAAGGTGTTGGGTAGAGGCAGTGTAGGAAAGGGTTAATGTTTCTATTGCCTGTATTTTAAAGGTGACTCTATCTCTTTAAAAGCTTGCAAAAGCTTTGGAGCGAATGATGTCTTCAGCACTGTTTGGTCTTCATGATAGTGTTCATTTATGAAACAAGTTTTCTTAAACAAAGAGATGTGCCAGCGTGGCTTCTAGGAAGCTGAGTGACTCAGAAATCAGCCACTTCATCTGGCAGGTCATGTGGAGAGTGCAATGAAAGCTCAGTTTGTCTGGGGAGCTGCAGACACTCACTCATGTGGTAAAAAAGTCAGATCACTTGCTTCTGTTCCCTTTGGCTGAAAGAATTTTGCTGTTTTTGAGTTGACTGAGTCCCAAAATAGTCGTGCTGGGGATTTACCCAGTCTCTGCCTTTGTGGGGCTCATCTGTGCAAGTCAGCAACCATAAGATGCAACCTACTGGCTTCCTGAAATCACAGGAGCTAGGCTACATGGTTCTCAGCTACACAGGCAGTAATCCAGCAGGAGTGTAAATCATGTCTTCCTCCAGCATCAAGGAGAAGCTACGCTTATGCAGAATGCAGTTTCTTGTGTGGAAAATGCATAGAGATGAGGTTGTTCCAGGAGCATGTCACCTGGAATAATCTGCAAGCTGGTAGGCCTCAGTTACACCCTGTCAGGGGAGAGCTGGAAGGAAGTTTGTGGCATTGGCTTGGGAAATAGGAGAAATATAAAGCTCCAGAGCTGGCATCTCTACAGAATTTTTGAAGAAGGAATTTGTCTTTCATTTTTTTTTAATACATATATAATCAGAATCTAAAAATGTTCTTCCAACTATCCCTTGGCCTGCTGAGGCAACAGTACTTTTTGCCCTGTTACCACAGGATGCCAGTAGTTGGTGTTAATCATGCAGGTTCTTGCAAGAAGTCGTCTTTTTACACTGGAAGTGGTATGTACAAGGTTCATGCCTAAATAGTACCTACATTAATTTATTGTTGAATTGCAATTACAGCATAACTTCATGACTTCTATGTGGCTAGAGTAACTGGAAATACATTGGGAAAAAAGCCTTTAATAATACAAGAGTAGTCTTGTTGTTCTTGATTCCTACTGCTTGTATGCCTTGTAAAGAAGAATGGAAGCCATCCAAAGAGCTCCCAAGAGCTGGTATGGAGCACAAAGGCAGAAACAGCGTATGTATTTGAAGGCAAGGAGAGAGTAGGCGCACTAACAAGCACTATTTCTACACAAAACTTCTACAGCGTTGGGAAGGTTTCCTGAGCACGTGGCTGTTGGGGTGAGCAGTCGTGGTGTGTCCCTAGGTGCACATACATGGATAGATGTTGGGCAGCCAAGTGTAAGCGTTTGTGCGGGTTTCAAACTGGTACCTTCATTACAAGCTGCATTGCGTGCAAACTCCTGCCTGTATGCTTGGGGAGGTGGCTTGGAGCCCAGTGGATGCCAGCCTCCAGACACAGCTCGTGGTATACAGAAGAGTCTGCAAATTCAGCAACTGTGTGCTATTCAGGCTCAAGTAGAGGTACAGACTTCTTGTGTGAATCACTAGAGATGAGCTCTTATATATTTAAAATCATTAATTTCAGTCCTTTCTATAGCAGTTATTGTTCAGATCCAGAAAGACTGTATTTTTGGCTTAATGGTTATTAATTGGAATTTGATAAGCTTAACCAAACTAAATCAATGCAGTGGCATTTTCCCCTTTTCACACACTGTCTGAGTCAAGTGTTCTAAGAGGTATGAGGTGCTCTGTGCTCCTAAGTGGTATATTGGTTCTTAAGATTGTAGCAGCATTTTCACAGTGGGCATCACCTTGCTTCCTTAAAATAGAAACTCTGACCTGTGGTATTCTCACAGCCTCACTTCTGCTTCTCAAGTCTGCCCTGAACCAAATCATTTTGTATTAGCAAAACTGTCATATTTTAGCTCAAACTCAGTTGACAAGGCTTCACTTCTGGGGATGTGTATCTTACTAGAAAAGTTTCACACAGAAACTTCTGCTGTAACAAAAAGCAAAATGCTACTATAAATTAATTCTATACTATAAATTAATTCTTCCTACACAATTAATTGCTAGGAAATAATACAATTTTATTCCACTTATTTTATTGTCCATATATGTTAGGACAGATGCCCTGCTTTGTCTACTGAGATGGGAGATGCTATTAAAAATACTCAATTACGTACCAAGAACAGGCAGTTAATAAGGCATATGGAAGTATTGTTAGAGGCAAGCTGCAGTGTTTATATTACAGGAGAGACTGCCTGCAGTAGATGATTTTTTTCCCTGAATGGAACAAATGAATGGAAGTACCTGAGGAGGATAGACTTTTTTTTTTTTTTAATTAAGTTGGTAATGGTATTTCACAGAGGTTGGAAGTACTCTTCAATGGCCAATAGGAGGATGTATCTGCAGAGGGTAACGTTTAAATTGTGGTTCTGTGCAATTAATTTTACAGGCTCAGCAGCACAAAAGACAGAGTGCCTGTTTCCTTGAAGTTAACCCCAAGCTGAGTCCTCACTGCAGACATAGTTTGCTGAAGATGATGCTGGGCAGAGCAGCTTCTTGCTGTGTCAGCTATGGAAGGCCACCTTTGTGCTAACTTGAAGACTTGTGTGGAAAAACCTCTGGCAGCCAGTCCTCCATCCTGCATTGCTTTGCTGAAGGTATACCGAGAGCTTCTGGTCAGTAAGATCCGGCACACCCAGTGTTTGCTTGACAACTTGATTAACAATGAGTACTTCTCCACTGAAGATGCAGAGATTGTTGTCCAGTTTCCAACTCAAGCAGATAAGGTATTATTTTTATTTCATTAACCAGCTTAAATTTTTTTATATTTTCAACTTACTGTTAGATTTCATGGGCATAATGTCTTTCCCAATCTTCATTATTTTGGACAATCACCACCCTATTCCATGTGGGCGAGTGTCTCCAGAAGCACAGCCAGCACTGCTTAGAATCCTGTTGGCAGCTGCAAAAATGATCAGGCTGATGATTGCTGTTTTGTCCCCTGAGCTGCAGCTTTGCCCTGTGATAAAGAGCTGACCACAGTGGCTGTTAGGCTGTGACTTTGATGTTCGCAAGCCTTCATTATCATGCAGAGTATTACAAGGAGAATCTACTTCAAGATGCCAAGGGACAGATCAGCCTACTTTAGAGGAGATGAAAATTAAATATTATTTTAGAGTTTATCATTGCATGTTGTCTGTGTGCGTACTTTCCCTTCTCTTTAAAGTCCTGTGTACATTATGAATGTTTGCTTGTAAAACCGATTCAGCCTGGCACATTTGGGTTTGTAAATCAACTCTGAGTATCAGTAGTAAACATTTTTTCCTGTTCCTTAGACAGGAGAAAATTATCAGATGTACACAATTGCTCTTTGCATCATAACTTAAAACAAGCTCCTCATTTATTTCCCTGACCAGTCATGCAGCTTCAGAATAGCGTCACAATTAGAGGCAGACAAATCATGAAAGAATCAGAGACCTTGGACTTCACAAACAGCCCAGACTTTCATAAAATAATCATTCTTCCCAGGAAGTCGAAATGGTGATACAGTGCTCACTGTGTAAAAGCTCAAAGCTGAATAAATGCACACTGTATGATCATCTCCATTTCTGTTTGGTCAGCATAATATACATGATTGTTGTAACAAGGCTGGAGGAGGGGCTGTGCATCAAAAGCCTGAGCAGAAACAGAGAGCAGGCCACAATCATAAGTGAAATGGACTCTGTGGGAGCTTCTCTGAAAATTGCCTTTTAGAGCATAAATATTTGTCCAAAATACAGTGCTTTCGCTGTGTGCTATGTACCTCACAAGAGACCATAGTCTGAACAAATCCTTTCTCTGCTTTAGAACTGAATTATTGATTCATCCTCAGCAAGAATAGGATCCAGACATTCAAAACGGGTAGTACAGTGCTGACTGTACCCTCTGTCCCAGGGAGGGTTCTGCTCTGAGGTTGCTACATACTGGTGGCACAGAGATCAACCTCTGGTATGATTTTAAAGATAACTCTTAGCCTTGAACTGCTTCAGCCTCTGTCTGACAGCCATTAGTTTTAGTAACAGTTGCAGGCAACAAGTACATTGTACAGAGAGAGAGAGAGAGAGCTCATTGCTGTGTTAGGAGAAAGAGCTGTGGGCTTTTCAATCTGCACTAAAATCTAGAGAGAGATTCTGCCTGCCCCATTATGGATCTCACTGTATCCGAGGTAAATCTAAACGTGACTGGAATATCTACAAACTGGAGGAATGAATCGAGGGCACTGAGAAATCCCTTCTTTCTTTTTCATTTTAACCAGACTGGGATTTAAAATACACTCTGCCAGACTGAGCTAATCCTTTAGATTCCTTTTTGGGGGAGTAGTATTTATCCACACTGGTTTTGGTTAGCATATGATTTAACTACAAGTTCAGACCTTAACCTGCAGAGCTATCTTTCTTGCAACATCTGAATACAAACAGAAGATGAGTTTTGTAATGGTTAAAATTCAGGACTAGATTTTGAATTCAATTTTTTGAAGCACTGGTTTTGATTCTGTTTTGTTTCATTCCAAAAGGGATCCTAAGCAGTCTAGCAGTTTAACTGTGACAAAATGCTATGCATCAGTGTTCTTTCTTGTGCTGTTTCTTCAGGTTCGCAAAATTCTAGACTTGGTTCAAAGCAAGGGAGAGGAAGTTTCAGAATATTTCATCCGTGTCCTGCAGAAAGTCACTGATGCTTACTATGAACTTCAGCCTTGGCTGGATGAAATAGGTTACCAGCCTTCAGAGAATATTTGTAGTAAACCTGTGGTAAATACAGATCCAGGTAAGATCATGCATCTGTCTCCCTTCCCTTAGAACATCCACTGTTTGGGAGGTTCTATCCAGGTGACGTGAGAGTGAGTGAGCCTAGGCAGGCACAGCCTCAGAAAATAAATGCGCACCTGCTGTGTTTGCTAGCAGAGCTAGCCAAATAATTAAAGGGCACGCTGTATAACGCGAGAGTCACGTTGATACAGTATCCTGTTTTGCTGAAGTCAAGCTCTTTTTGCATTTGTGGATATATAGCATCATGGCATATCCACCTTCTGCGAGCTGTAGTATTTTCTAGGCTTCTGTTACTGTTTATTAGCAACATTGTCACATTTTGGCAATGGAATAGCCAGTATTTCATGCTGAGGGCAGTCGACCAAGGAGGCAGGCTGCCTGGAGCGGCTGTGTCTCCTTGCAGGTTTTCAAGACCCAGATAGACAAAGCCCTGAATAACCTTATCTGATCTCACAGGTGGTCCTGTTCTGAGCAGAAGGTTGGACTTGAGACATCTCAAGATCCCTTCCAACTGAATTATTTCACGGTCCTAAATAATGACTTTTTGTATAGTCAAAGTGTAGCAGGAATATGTGTTTTCCTTGTGAGAGGTCTTTCATACTGCATAAATACAAGAAGTACTTTGCCCCCATCAGAGCTAAAATTTCTCTAGTAATAAAAACATGAGTCAACATTGCACAGTAACTGGGACTTTCATTTTTTGTGTCAGTTTAGAAAAATATCATTTGGGGTTCCTGCTTTCTAAAGCACGTTTTCTATTTGCAATAATAAAAAATACCAAACAAATTAGGAAAGAATGGCCACCTACCTGAATCACAGTAGAATATAAATAAGTGAAACAGCAGATTCCAAAACTAACCTGGGACCAAAAACCCCTGCCTTTGCTGAGAGTCAAACAACCTCTAACAAAGCTTCAGGGGCTTGACTTTGAGCCCCATCTGAAAGATAGAAGCCTCTTATTGCAGTGCAGTGTCTTGGAGTCAGTGTTAGATTTCAGGAAATGGTGACTCATATGCTAAGCATCTGAATTTTCCATTATTATGGCAGCGTGAATGCATAGAAGTCATCTGCCAAAAACTGATCTTGAGTAAGAATTGTTTTAACCTGCTATCCCTCAGAGTTCCCACAGAGGTAGGTAGCAGGCTTTTTAATAGTAGTTATTTTAATAATAGTTCACTGTCTTTTTAGTTAGCAGGTATTGCCAAAAACTCAGATATGAACTGGGACGGGACTCCAAATTCGTTATGTCGTATGCGCAGAGGGAAGAGATGCTGCTGGAAGAAATCTACTCTAACAGTATTATGGAGATGGTCAATTTTACCAATGAGAGCCTGGGTGAAGTGTGTCAATTACAAGCCCTTTTTGATGATGCAGTTGGGGTAATAAATGAAGATGGAGAGACTATTTATGTCTTTGGCGATGCAGGAATTGGAAAATCTATCTTGCTGCAAAAGATACAAAGTCTTTGGGCCAAAAAACAGTTGGATGTAGGGGCTAAGTTTTTCTTCCATTTCCGATGTAGGATGTTTAGTTGCTTTAAGGAAGATGAAGCTGTATGTTTGAAAGACTTACTCTTCAGATATAATTGCTACCCAGATCAGGACCCCACAGAGGTGTTCCATCACATCTTGCAGTTCCCTCACACGGTTCTTTTCACATTCGATGGCTTTGATGAGATCTATTCCAACTTTGATCTCAGCAGTGTTCCTGAGATGTGTTCACCCAATGAACCCGTCCACCCTCTGGTGCTGCTGGTAAGCCTTCTCAGAGGAAAGCTTCTTAAGGGATCCAAGAAAATTCTTACAGCACGGACAGGAACTGAAATCCAAAGAAATGTCATTAGAAAGAAAGTGTTGCTTCGTGGTTTCTCCAGCAATAACCTGAAGGAATACACTGCCTTGGTTTTTAAAGATGCGGGGCAGCGAACGCTGATACTGAACCAGCTGGAAGCTAATCCCAACCTCTGTAGTTTGTGTTCAGTGCCTTTATTCTGTTGGATTATCTTTAAATGTTATGAACATTTCCACTCCATGTTTGACAGCCATGAGCTTCCAGACTGTTCTGTTACATTGACAGATGTATTCTTGCTCATGATTGAAGTCCATCTAAACCGGTCTCTGAAAACAAGTTTGCTGAAGAACAACGTCAGGAGCCAAGCAGAGGTGTTCAAATCAAGAAAGGAAACTCTTCTAGCTTTGGGTAAAATTGCATACAAAGGGATGAGGAACTCTATCTTTGTCTTTGAGCAAGAGGAGGTCTCATCAGCGAACATCTCTGAAGAAGATTTGCAGTTGGGTTTTCTCAGGACAGTTAAAGGTTACAGTGGCTGTGACAATCAATCCACTTATGAGTTCTTGCACTTAACCCTTCAGTCTTTTTTCACCGCTTTGTACCTAGTTATGGAAGAGAGAGTGGGGATTAAGGAGTTACTTCAGTTTTTCAATGAATGCTCTTCTGCTGAGACTGCCCAGCGTACTTGCTTTCACATTCCTTGGCTGAAGAAACCACTCACAGGGGAGGATCCTTTCCGAAACAATGAACACTTCCATTTTACCAATCTCTTCCTTTGTGGCCTGCTTTCCAGATCCAAGGAGAAGCTCTTCAAACAATTAGTTTTGCCTGCAGTCATTAGAAAGAAGAGGAAGACACTCATCACATACCTTGGGGGAAGCATGAAATCCCATCTGAAGGGTGTCACTCGGTCCAGGCTTCTAAAGTACAATCAGGTGCAGGTTCAGCCAAACTTTGTTTGGATGCTGAGGTGTCTTTATGAGACTCAAAATGAGACAGTGGGAAAGCTGGCTGCGAAACGCATGCATGCCAATTACATCAAGCTTACATACTGCAATGCCTACTCTGCTGACTGCAGTGCTATTTCCTTTGTCGTGCATCACTTTCGAAAGCGCTTGGCTCTGGATTTGGACAACAACAACATCAATGACTATGGGGTGAAACAGCTGCTACCGTGTTTCAGCAAGCTTGCAGTCATCAGGTAGGAGTCTGTGCAAGCAGATTGTTTCTTATCCTTGGTTTCTTCCACAAACTTGGGCTAGGGGAATCTGTCTTCAAAGTGGAGAAACATGAGGATTCTCATTGCTGCTAGAAATTAAAGTGCAGTTGGCCTTGAAAGCAGAACCCAAACACTCAAAATAGCCCCAGGCAGCTTGATTTGGATTAGAGGTTTGACTATGTCCAACTCAGCCACTTTCAGGTCTTTTGGAATATTTGAGGAGGCACGAGCAGGAGGAGGGGCAAGCGCATTTGAAACTCAAAAAAACAGGACTAGTTAAGTCTGCAGGTTTAGTTAGCTGTATCACAAGTAGCTTTTTTCCTCAAAAGAGGATTTTTATAGGAGAACGTGCTTAAGGGAAACAGAAGAAAACAGAAGTGTTTCATCCATTATATAAAGATTGCCTGAGCCTATCTCTGCCCTAGGACATACAGGGTAAGAGAGAATCTATCATTCACCAAGTAACAAGTAATGCCTGACAGATACTATGAATTTCTTGCTTTAACATCCTGCTCAGATGTGTGGTTTTCACAGAATAAAGCTGATGTGTACTTACGTTATGAAAGAATATAGTTGAAGTGTTAGCTGCATTATTTCTAGGAGGTGATTTGGAGGGGAGACGTGAACTGGCATAAGCAGGGCAAAGAAACTCCACCTGTAGCATCAAGGCCGGCGTTCCACCTCTAATCTTTTGAGGTCGTGCCATGTAGCGATGCTTTATTTCTCCAAACGTTCAAGTGTCAAAAAAAAAATACCCAGAAATTTCAAGTATTCATTTTCTGAAACTCCTTCAACCTTAAGTGATTTATTTTCTACATGGATTTATTACTCTGATTGGCCTCGCTGTGACTTTTTTTCTTGTATGGGCTGTTTAGGACTAAATCAAAGCAAATCGTTTCCCAGCTTGGTTGCAAATCAACTGACCACCCAAAAGAAAGCAATAGGAAACTTGTATAAAAAAGACTCCAGTTTTCAAAACAAAATGGAGAAGAAAAGAACAGTATTTTGTGTTTTTTTGTCTGTATCACGTGATCATGCTGTGATCAATGTGAGCTTAACAGCACCTCCAGCACCAAACCAGACTGTTGGGAGGCTTTGTTGTCTTTGTGGCTCTTCTGATGTTATGATTTATCCTGCCCTGTTAATGACTTTTTCTGGCCATTGAAATGAGGTGTTTCTAACAGCTTTACTTTCTATTTCAAAGAACAGGCTGCTCTGATCTGTAGAAATGGCATCTTGATTTGTCCTTTGTGCAAGTGCATTTCTAAGTGACCAAGGTATTACCAGGAAGAGCCTGGGAGTCTGCTGGTGATAAGAGCTCTCAGCAGTGAGTGTTCAGCTTCAGCATTTATGGAGAAACCAAAACAGGTCTAAATCACTGGGACAGTTTTCCTGAGAAAGTGTGATTTTTCAGAATTGGAATGTTTCCCAGGAAACTGTCCATTCAGCCAAGGTGAAAAAGCTTCAGGAGCGTAGAGAAAAACTGTGTAAAAAAGAGTGTAGAGAAAACAAGTGTTTTTTTATTCAATGAATGACTGACATTGATTTATTTTGTGTCTAATTGGGACAATAAATCAGAAACATCCAACACACCCATGGACTGGAGTTCCATTTCTTGGACAAAGGTTTTCACAACCTTTATTAATTGGATCCTGATTGTGTTGTGCCTTTCAAGCCTGGCTTTCAGCAGGTACAGAGAAGGCTGTAGGAGTGGTCTGGAAAGCTTGCTTTTGCTTTTGCTTGGGTCTCAGGTGGAATTTCTGCAATCCCAGTACGCACAGGAGGAAGATGAGGTGTTTTCTCTGGTTTCTGATTCTCTGCATTGTATTGTTTCCAGTCCTATGGACAGCTTCCAGAACATTGCCTTGCTGATTTGAGGCTTTTTGTTTTCTTTTGTTTTTGAAGTGAACCATGTAATACTGAGGTCGCACTTCCCTTAATTGCTTTTAATATATGGTGTAAGAACTTACTGAAATCTCAGAGGGAAATGTATAGACCTCCAGTCTTTCATTGACTCAAGGGTGATAAACACATGTAGTCTGTATTGACTCAAACTCTTTTCTCTCCCCTCATTCCAGGCTCAGTGTAAATCAGATCACAGATCATGGAGCAAGGATATTGTACGAAGAACTCTCCAAGTACCAAATTGTATCTTACTTGGGGTATGTACCAACTGGGAGCAAAGCACTAGGTACTGCTACTGGAAAATAAAACTGCCGTGCTGTGGGAGCATAGGTGGGGTGGAAACCAAAGTTACCTCTTCATCTGCTGAATATGATGAGACAGCATTTTGTCAGATATGATTCAGCTCCTGTCCTGTAAAAGCTCACCAGGAGAAGGACCAAAAGCTTCCTCTCCCGTTGCACTGCTTCAAGGGATGGCCTCCCACTCTAGTCAAGCCCGTCTGTAACAGAGCATGGACTGCTGTCAGGTTACTGATCTGTGTGGGCATGCTAGCTTTATATTTGAAGGCTTCTGCTAGCACTTTTTGGAATGTTTCCCAGGAAACTGTCCATTCAGCCAAGGTGAAAAAGCTTCAGGAGTGTAGAGAAAAACTGTGTGTGTGTGTGTGTGTGTGTGCACGCCTATGGATATGTGTATAGTTGGCTTTGTAGCCAGGGCCTTCTGCTTTCTCAGTTGCAAACTGATTTATTTCTACTGTGCAAAGCAGATAGAGTTTGGACAAGAAAAAGGCTGCTTTAGATGTCATGTTTACAGGTCCCTTTTACTGTAACCATGTCTTTTATCATAGAAAGTAGCAGTTTTTAAAAACCATTCTTTTTTAACCAACCTAATACTGGTAGGTGTGTTACTGCTGGCTTCCCACTTTGGTTAAGAGGCTACATAAAAATGACTTTTTGAAAAGTGATCATGAATACCAAGAATTCCCTCCTCCTTGCCGTGCCCTTCTGCTCAGATGTCTGATCTTCAGGAATCCCCTTTGTAAGGGGATTTTATGGCTTTTAAAAAACCAAACACATGTCCTTCTGGTGTGCTGCCGTGCTTTTTTTTCCTTCTGATTTATTGAATATTATTGCTGTACTAACACAGGAATAAAGGGAAGATTTGTTTGCTTGAGAGGACCATGTAATTAAAATGCTTACATATAAATATTTTTCACTGTTAAGTCTATTCTTGTATTTTATATCTACCCCTTCACAATATTAACTGTATATCAAAATAGAAGTACAACCCATTGTATATTTGTGCAGAGCCATACAAAAAAGATGGATGCTGTCTGTGCATTATAAATCACCCAGGTTGTAAATATAGAAATGACAGCAGGAGTAACCTATTTTTACCAATGTGATTTTTCTTTAAGCTTATACAACAATCAGATCACTGACATTGGAGCCAAATATGTTGCAAAACTTATTGAAGAGTGTTCAAGCCTTGAATATGTTAAGTAAGTTTGTTTTTGTTTTATACTTATACAGTATCATAATTAAGATAAAGCAACTTGAAAAGAGGAAGAGTAAAGAAAAATGACCAAAAAACCCCAACTGTTTCAAACAAAATAAATTGATTGTACTTACATATTTTTTTTATAGTAGCCTAGCAGTAAATGTCAGCATCTTTAATCCATAGTCTTTACTAAAAACTGCACTGCACTATCAGCAGTAGTAGGCACCAGACCTTTTCTTAAATCCAGTCTGATTACCTGAATGAGACTTAAGTGCTGCATGAATCTTACTGGCCTTTGTCATGAATGAATTTGCTTGCATTTAGTATCAACCTTCTGGTATCTGGCCTTTTGTGGGCTATGGCAGTCATGCTGTGCCAGTGTCATTACCTCAGCTCCGGAACAGCCCAGATTCACTTGAGAAGTTGTCTCCTTTGAGTCCTGGAATGTCTCCAGATATGTGTTTGGCCATACACAACAGTGACTTAACAGAAAGGTAGATCATTAACTGATGGTTTAGTTGTGACCACAGCAGAACACAGAGGTAACTACAGCAATAGCAACTGCTGGTGTGAATATAGCAACCAGCAGCCAGGGATTGTTGGGTTCTAGGCGTTATTCTACACCTAACTTGCTCTGAAACCCCACACTGGCCACATAATTCCTGCTTGAAATATTTGCAGAATTTTGAAACCCAGGAGCACTCTGGCTCTGTCACTGCTTTGACAGAGTGCTCTGTTAATTTAATCTTCTAACTTTCACCAGAAAAAAAAATGCTTGGAAGACAGTTTCTGTCAGGCTTCCTAGTATGATTCGAAATGGTTTTGAGATAGAGTGCATGACGTGCCTGCAGTCAGTCAAACAAACCAGACAGAAGTTTTAATTTATGCAAATGTAGTGGCTTGAGGGGGTTTTTTACAGTAATGTATATGCAATTGAGACTTACCTCTCTCTTGAACTCCAGCCACTTGATATTCCCACGCCAAAAAATGGAAAGATTCTATAGAGCACCAGCCTCTGGCCAGTGCTGTGCTGATCTGTGCCAGCGCCTGTAGCCAATGCTCAGAACAGAAAGACTTGAAACTATTAGTCTGTACTCATCCGCTGCAGTCTGCTCTCGACCTGCGCTACCAAGAAATGTTCTGTTCCCTGTGGCATCATAGAACATGCTGCGTGTAATTCATTAGTGTACTTTGCAGCAACAGCTGGTATTATGAGCTGTATTAAAAGCTAGGCAGGGAGCCTTGCTTCAGGATCAGTTCCTACAGCTTATTTCTGACACACTTAGCACCAAAATCAAGACTTTACAGTAATATGTCCAGCTTGGAGGACCAACGTACAAAATATGTTTTCTCTTAATTGAAGGTCAAATGCCTGCAGTATTTTTTACTCTAGGTTAATCTTTGTTAACTGTAACTAGCATCCAGGGTTAATTAGCCTTAAATACCTGTATTGTTTCATAAGCTGGTGTTCTAATAGCTGTACTGCTGTAAGTGGTTTACCTCATCAACTCTTGTATTTTATGCAGAATAGGAGCAAACAAAATAACTAGTGAAGGAGGGAAGTGCCTTGCCCAGGCCATCCAGAAGAACACAATGATGTTTGAAATCGGGTAAGTTCAGTGCTGAGGAGAAGAGCACAGGGCTTGGTCTTGGCAAGATGTTTGTGAATTCCTTGGGCTTTCTTCCTTCATCCTTGCCTTGCTCTTCCCAGTCCATCCTCCACAGTGGCAGCAGAACAAACTGGTGCAGTAGCACAATGACATTTTCTGCTCAGGGCAATTAGGTGATGCTTTATGGTTCCTCCAGTTCGTGCGATGATTTTCTTCCTGTTCTGATGGAACCATAAAGGAGAGAGAAAAACTAACAAGAGGGCAGAAGATAAAGATAGCTTCTTCCCTTAACTGCACAGTAGCTGTTGTAAAGATATTTAGTCATTTTTAAAGGTTCAAGTGGCTTTATGACTATTGGCAATGTACATAGCTATGGCATGTCAAGGTTAAGATTATTGAATGTTCCACACCAAGTCCTGATAAATTTGTGAGCTGTGAGAATATAAAGGAATTCCACATCATCCTTCTGTCCTAAACTGGAGAACTTGTTATTACTGGAGAGAGGTCATAATGAAAACACATGGTCCATGCCCTCTTTCTTAGGATTGAAGCTAGATTGGTGCTTGTTCCCTCTGGCAAATCCCATTTTCTCTTTCCATTCTGCAGGAGAGCATTCTTCTTAGAAGGTAATACTGAAAGGAATTAAAACTTCTCTTTGGCCATGATCACAGTAACACTTACATATGAAAATCAGGTTTGAACAATCAGATTTTGGCCTTTGTTTTGTTTGTTCTAGAAGATTTCAAATATAGAATCAACAGCATACACACTTCTGTTGTCATACAGATGGTTCTGCAGTGCCATTGTGCTTGCTGTAATTTTCATGAAGGATGTTTGTTTTTTCCTTTGGAGGAAATAATCCCTCCAAATGGATTTATGATATCCTGGTAGTCATGTTTAAACAGGTACTTTCAGCATTGTTGTAACAAACTGCTTTTGATCTTAAGGACAAAGAAACTCTTGGAAACTTACTGGAAGTAGATGTATTTAGTAGATACCACAAAGCTCAATGGATTTTAAGAGGTGCCAACTAATTACCCATCAAGCTGAGTGTGGCTTAGAGCTGTCAAGACAAGAGCTCTGTAAAAGTAAATAAGCAAGTAAATGCACTTCAGCAGAGTCTTTCAAACTTCAGAATACATGGTGAATTGACAAAGAATTTGTCCAGCTACTGCTATTAAATGTTGATCAAATCCCTGCAGCTATTACCTTCTCTTAGTGCTTTGTGTTATTAGGTTGCTTTGCTGTTAGAAACACTATTCTTTAGAAAGGCACAGAAGAGACTGGGGTCATACAGAGCCTGTGAGATTTTGATCCCTCCCTGATGAGCCAGTGAGAGAGGAGATATTGCTGGGTGTAATGCTGATTTTTAACCTTTTTACTAGACTGTTCTGAAGGAGATGGTGAGCTTATTGAATGGTTGACCTCAGAAAGTCACCTGTTTGGGTATGGGCCCCTGTGCAGCTGTGCTTCTGGAGGTCATATCAGAATTATAGAACCACAAAGCAGGTCGGGTTGGAATGGACCTTAGAGCTGATCCATTTCCAACCCCCTGCTGTGGGCAGGGCTGCCACCCACCGGATCAGGCTGCCCAGGGCTCCATCCAGCCTGGTCTTGGGGCATCCACAGCTTCTCTGGGCAGCTGTGCCAGGGCCTTACCACCTTCTGAGTAAATGATTTCCTATTAACATTTAATCTAAATCTCCTCTTTTCTAGTTTAAAACCATTCCCTCTTTTCCAATCACTATCAGCCCATGTAAAAAGTCCCTGTAGAAGAGTACAAGATTCCTTTATCCCAGAAGGGTATAGGGCAGCTGAAGGTTCACCCATTGCAGCAAGATAATCCCAAAGCACTCAAGCTGCAGCAGGCTGGTTGTCTCCTAGAGCTGCTCCTATGCTGTGGCCTGGTAATGGTGAGTCAGAGAGGTGGATGGTGCGATGTGCAGGGAATGGAACAGGCCTGGCTCGGTGAGATGGTACCTGCCAGGCTTCTTGCAGCTCTCAGAGGCTGGGGAGTAATGTTGGGGGATGAATGGGGTGAGAAAAAGAGAATGCAATGCTGAGGGGCAGCAGAGCAATGCATCTGATATCTCCTGGTTTCCTGTCTTCACTAGGATGTGGGGCAATCAGGTTGGAGACGAAGGTGCAAAGGCATTTGCAGAGGCCCTGAGGAACCATCCGAGGTTGACAAATGTGAGGTAAAACAGCAGCTGAACTTGCCATGGAGCTGTCTTTCCCAGTGCTTTGTGAAGCAGTGGCTCTTTGGACCAAGTGTTAGCTTGGGCCACCATCTGGTGCCATGGTCATTGTTCTGTAACAGGCTCCTGGCGCAAGCAAGAGGCCATGTTGGTTGAATTGAAAAGCCCTGTGCAGCCATAAAGCAAGTTAAAAATGTTGCAAGGCTGTCATCCCTTTAATCTGTCTCCTTTCCTCATGCTGTAGAGGAACTGGCATTTGTGAAGACACCTGGTCACTGGGTGCCATTCTGGGCTGGAAGCATTAGCAGAGATGATGCCGAAGCTGGTGGAGAATCGGCCTCCAGGGAGCTCAGTGTTAACAGTTGCTGTGGTGAAGGGACAGCAGTTTTTACCAAAGTAACTCGGGATGTGCTGTTTGGATAAAGATTAGCACATAGAATCACAGAATCAGTAAGGCCAGAAAAGACACCTAAGATCATCTAGTCCAATGGCCAGCCTACCCGCCATGCCCACTAAATTGTGTCCCTCAGTGCCACATCCACACGGTTCTTCAATACCTCCAGGGATGGTGACTGCACCACCTCCCTGGGCAGCCTGTGCCAATGCATTACTACTTTCTGTGAGAAGAATTTTGTCCTAATATCCAACCTGAATCTAGCAGTGAGATGTAGTTCTTGCTGGAGCTCAGTAATTACTCTCTAAGTAGCCCTCAGGAGGCCTTAAAGTGGGTGAAGTTGGCAGCACAGCACGGGGTGCAACCAGCGGTGTAAAACCAGCACCTTCCCTGCTACAACTCCTGACTAGGGATTTATAGGTGTGCATTGTGGCGGCTGCTGCTGCTGTTGTGGAGTTCCTCCACGCAGCTGGAGCGCTGGGATCGTTCTCTCCCAGTTCCCTCGGCCTCCACGTGAGGGAGGAGAGGAGGCTCCTGGCTTTCCCCACTAGGTGGCACATGGCACTGGTTTCTGCAGCAGTACCGGTCTCAGGGATCCCTCCAGAGCTGCCATTTCACAGCCAGGGATTTCAGAGCTGGTGTCTTGTCCTCCTTTCAGTGAGCGTACAGCCAGGCTTAAAAAATTAAAAGCTGAACAGGTGCAGTGACCTAGATATATTTAAACTTAAAAGCTATCAGAAGTAGCCATCTTTCCCTAATTGCAGAAGCCATCCAGCTGTATCAGACTTGAAAGAAAACAGTTGGAATCTGAATCAAAGCTGCGTTGCATCCGGGATTCTCAGATAAATACACTGATGAATGTGCTTGCAAAAATAAGGAGGAGCAGCTGCAGGCTGGAGCCAGGTTTTGCTGGCACCTGTGCAAGGTGCATCTTCTGCCCTGCAGTGTGCTTGCACTGGAGTTCACTTCTGGTCTTCCAGTGGATAACCCTGGTTCATTATTTGAATGCACAGATGGTACCAGATAACTGTGGTAGCTGTATGCAAAGGTGAAGGGAAGTTGGGCCCTGATACATTTTACTTCTGTGTGTTTGCCATACTTAGGCTGAGAATATATGGTTTCAGCTGAAGTTAGGGATACTAACACGTATGCTAGCCCTTAATTTATGCCATTGCTCCAATTTGTCCCCTTCCTGCCTCTTTTTGGAGGCCATGCACTATTTTCAGTCTCTGGCCTGTCTTCTAAGGATGGAAATGCTTTTTGAACTCTCAAAGCCTGAAGCATAAGTTTAACTGGGTGATTTTGCCAATGTCTATTCAAAGAATGAAGAGCAGACTAAGAAATGTTTGTGGTTTGTAATGGAAAGCATGCATTTACAGGCTTCTCTCTCCCTGCACTACAGAAGGTATTGTGTTTGGAAGGGGAATGGGGCATTGAAGTGTCTGAACACCTCACTTAAAGAAAACAGTGCCTGGTTTGTAGTGGGAATGGGGATGACAAATGTGTGTACAGATCAATGTACTGCAAAGCACCACCCTCTCCTTGCTGAGAGCCACAACTTTCAAACTCACAGCTGCAGCTCTGCCGTCAGTCCCAAAAGTCACTTTGCTCTCGCTGACAGCAAACCTTATGGTTTATGTGACAGACCTGCATCAGGCTGCAGCCTGTGAACTGGTCTCACATGTAAAAGTGGGAAGGGCTCATTTATTTGCAAAGTAAGTGAGCCTTTGAAACAGCTCAGTTCAGAGCTGGAAAACTCAGACATGGATCATCCAAGACAGCCATTAGTATTTGGTAGCAAGAAGGCCAAGCAACACTGGCTGCTTTTTAAACCTTGGTGTCTGTTTATTTCACAGTCTCGCATTTAACGGCATCACAACAGAGGGAGGCAAAAGCATTGCTGAAGCTTTGCAGCACAACAACTCCGTGAAAATATTCTGGTAATCAATGGTGTGCCCTGCTTCTCCTTCTATTCTTTCTCCAGAGCAAGCTGCAGCCTAATTTTACTGCTTCTTTCTTTCCCTCGTGCCACCTCTGCATTTTCACAACCAGCGCACTCTGAGATCACAGAATCATTGAGACCAGAATGGACCTCTGGAGATCATCTAGGTATATCCTTTGATGAGCAGTGGATTAGCTTTCCTGCCTGTAGGAGCGCTGATACACCTTTGTTTCCGTGGGAAGCTGGGTCTGCAGTGTGAGCTCCTTACATTCCTGTAGGTTTTGGTATGGTGGTGAAGGACACCCCCCTCTTTACACTCAACATGCTTAGGTGAGGCCAGGCCCAGCTTCACCGTTCTCCATGACAGAGGAGCTGAGGACAGCTTGCATTCCTTAGTGCTATTCACAGACCTCTGACAGGGTCCTGTGCAGCATTTTGAGTATTATTCCTCTGGCAGTGGAAGCAGTGTGCATAGAATCATAGAATCATCAAAGTTGGAAAAGACCTCTAAGATCATCTGTCCAACCACCCACCTACTACCAGTATTTCCCCACTAAACCACAGCCCTTAGTACAACATTAAGCATTTCTTGGACACCTCCAGGGAGTGGTTCTGTATGTCTGTATGTAACTTTAGGAAGATCGGTTGGATTTCAACTGATGGGAGCAGAAGTCTCTTAGTAGACTCTGCAGACCATTGCCTGAAAGCAGTGATTTAATTCATCTGCCTCTGCTTTTGTTGTGCCCAGTAGTGAGCTGGAGCTTCTCAACTCCCCTTGTCCCTACTTGCAGTTCTGGTTCATGCTTAATTCTACTCCCTCCATCTTGCTTTCCCCATCACTCACAGTTTGTGCATCTCTTCAGTGCTACCTGTGCCTTTCCATCTTTTTCCAGTGCAGTTCATGCAGCTTTCAGTTACTTTAACATTGTGAGAAAACCACATTAGATAGATCAGTGCTCTGAGAAATTAAGATCTGACATTCCTTTTGCCTTTTTTACTCCAGGGCTTCTCTTATAGCATGTCTGTGTGTCCAGACTTCAGAGGTTGCTCAGGGCAGAAACAGGACACACACTCCACTTTGGCTTTCTAAAATGAAGTCGCTGACGAGTTGGAAAAACAGGAAACTGAAAAATAATGATAGCATCTTAAGACAACGTTTTCTCTCCCACCTAGGCTGACAAAAAATGAGCTGGATGATGAGGCAGCAATGAGTTTTGCAGAGATGCTGAAGATCAACAAGAAACTGGTGCATTTATGGTAAGTTACATTCCACAGAGGCACAGTCTCTTTGGCAGTAACCGCATTAAAGCTTCACCTTCCAAGTCTATGTAGGTCACAGTACGCTCTCTGTGCATGGTCTGGATGCAGCTGACTGGTTGTAGACAGCTTTAATGGAAAGTTAATAAAGCTGCTGTCTAGTGTTTTGAACCTGCTTTCTTACAGGGAAAACTTTAAGCTGGCTGTGTGTCCTGGTAACTTTTGAACTGCACAGCTGCCTTGTTTATCTGTAGCAGCTCATTACTGGCCTCAAACGTAAATTTCAGAAAAATACTAGCAGATATCTAGCATAAAGTAATGTTATTGTGATCTCTACTGTTTGCCATCATACTGTGAAAGTAGCAAGCTCAATTGCTTGCTTTCAGCCAATATCCTTCAGCCAAGAACCTACACAGAACACTTATGTGGCCATTTGCCCCTTGCTTTGTTCTGTGGCACTTTCACTGACACAGGACACTTAGCCGTGAGACACAAATCCCTGGGAAAGCAGAGGTTCTTGTTTCTAGCAATCACAAGGATACTTGTTAAACTTCTGGGAAACCACAGGCAGGCAGCCCTAATCCAGAGGTTCACAATAATTTGCCTGTGAATGGGGTTGGGCAGATGTGGGCTGTGAAACAAACAGCCATCCATTCATGCCAAGTGATTGAGAGAACATAATAAACAGAGTCCTTTTACAAGCTTGTACAAAACCTTTGCTAAGCACACTTTAGCATTCCCTGCGTTTAATTGTAGTCCATGCCCTTAGGAAAGTACTGACTGCCAGAGGGAACAGATACTTGTGGTCTCTTGTAAAAACAGCAGAAGTTCTGGTGCCCATCACCCTGCAAATAAAAGGGAGATGGGAAGAGCTTGATTTCTTCATGCACAGCTGCAGATACATTACACTGGGCAGCGTGTCTGTGTCAGAGAGCCCCCAACATTGCAATCTCATACCAGCAGTAAAGAGTTCTCAGCAAAAATGTGTCAGCAGTGTCAGCTCAGTATCTCCAGAATGCAGCCACAGGCAAGCTTAGAAGGAAGCGATTGACACTGAGCTCCACTTCTGAAAGTGCATCTGCAGGCATCTGACAAGCACTGTGTGCACTCCTCAGAGATGGAAATCACAACTGTCTTCCTGTTGCAAACTGACAGCTTTGCTCCTTGACATCAAGCTGAGCTCAGGCCGTGCATGTGCTATAAAACAGTTTGTGTGCCGGGCTGATATGAAGTGCTTTCTTTTTAGGCTTATCCAGAATCAAATTACAGCCAAAGGAGTGAAGTACCTCAGCGAAGCTCTCAAGGAGAACACAGCCATCAAAGAAGTCTGGTAAAGATCCCCTCCTCAAAAGCTCACTTCTTAAACTTTCTTTTCCTTTAAAACAATAGCATTAACTTTCTAGCCTAAAAAAACAAAAACAAAAACCACAAATAGAAAAACAACAAACACAGAGCAAGTTTCTATAGAGCAGGGGCTGCAGTTCCAGCAAGTTTCGAAGAGGTAAAAAGCCTTTGTCACTGGAACACTTCCCTGTGTGTTATGATATCAGGGAGCTCTGTTAGTTCATGTCTGTCTGTACTGCCGACTTGCAGAACGTGTGTTTCTGCAGAGCTGGGCCATTGCTGTGACAGGTTTTGCTTTTTGTGATTTATTTTCAAACTTCTTAACATGTTTCTACCTCTAAGGAGCTCAATCCCAACAAGCAGGAGCTGGCTACATTTAATTAGCATTACTAATTTGGTTCATATTATTTGTGCTTGGATTTTCTTTGGGCGGTGCTCCAAGCACGCGAGAAGTGCTAAGCTCTGAGGAGATTAACTTTTTTGTGAGATTTGCTTGTTTTAGATTAGGCAGGCATCAGGCAGTCACGCATGTGCATTGCAGGGCACAGTGCCAAGCACCACATTCCTTCCCTCACCTCTGGGAGTCAATAGAGTGGTGCTGGTTTTAGCGCTGCTGCTTCTGTATTATTGAACGTGACATTTATTTTTTAAAAATACGTATTTGTTTTAATGAAAGGACACTGAATTCCTGCTCACAAAGACAGTGACTCACTCCATCTGACAGAGGGCTCCCCAGGGATGTGGAAGAAGCTTCTTTCAAAGGCTGCTGCCAGCTGCCAAAGAGGCTGCAATACCCACCTTAGAAATTCTGAGTTTTCAAATCAAAGTCTGTCTTGTGGCTCTTGCTTGGCTTTTCAGGTGTGCTTTCTAACCCTCACCATTTCATAAACTTTGTATTTTAATAGCGTTTCTGGGAACTGCACATTTCAGGCTACTTATTTTCAGGGGTGTAAATATCAATGTGGCCAGATTTGAACATTTTGCCATGTCATCTCACGTTAATTATGTCCAAGTGCTTAAGAGCTTGCTTTCTTTGTTGTCATGGAAGACTCAAAAGGCTGCAAAGACAATATCAACTTCTCTCAGCCATATGCTGCTTTTCACAGCAGTGCTGTCACCATTTGGCCCCAGGCAGCACCATGTTCCTGTAGCCCTGTTGCTTACGGCCCTGACTTCTCCAAGTGAGCTCATAGAAGTCAGCCCATCATCCTGCTCTGTCCCATCCAGCTCTCCACTTCAAACCTTGGTAAAATAGAGGATGGGCAGCAGTCACTGCCTCCCTTTCACATCCCTTTTATGTCCCTACTTCTCTCCAATAGTTTGAATGGGAACCTGATAAGTCAAGAAGAAGCCAAAGCTTTTGAAAGTGAAGAACGGATCATTTGCTTCTGAGTGAGGACTTCCCCATTTGGACAAGCTTTGTGTTACAGAAGCTGCCACGCTTGGACTGCAGCGTTACAGAGGCAGTGCTCGTGGCAATGCCTGCTATCCCTATTCCTTTTGGTGAGTGGGAAATTGCCTTGGTAAATAATTAATATCTGTACAGTGCTTTGAAGATGGAACACCAAGTGTTAACAGAGGTAATCCAGGGGCATGTGTGTGCATTTTGATAACTGAGCTCAGATTTATTCTATATACTGCTGTGATTAATCTCTAACTTATTTATCTACATGAATCTACGCACACACGTCTATATGCAAGAAGACACAGGCTCCAAAGCACACAGCACTACTTGCCTCGTAACTGAAAATAATAGTCTGGATGGAAACGTAGACTGTCTCAAAAGGCTGCATGGTACCAATGCTTTCAGCATGAATCCTCCCGTGCCTAGAAATTAGACCCTCATTTTCCCACTGACTTACAGCAGTTGTAGGCACTGCGTTTTTCTGGAGAAACGGATACATGAGGCTCCAATTACTTTCCATAATCTTTTTTCCATATTGAAGCCAATACATTTTCTTTTATACAAAGCAGAAAGCTTCGCTGCCACTTCTGTAAAATCATAACACAGGCAGTAAAACACTTTTGCCTAACATTTCCTGAGGGCTGCACAAAAACTGCCACCCCCTGTTCTTACAGTGTTTGTTCTGGGGAGAGGGTCTGGAGATGTATGTGACAAATTAATGAGGGGCTGTGCACTGCCTTGGCTCGTGGCCTGGATGTGGTGCTGGTGGCACTACACCAGTGTTAAGTTGCCTGGCTTCATGGGGAGAAAGAACAACTGAAAAACCAATGGTGTCAGGTGGAAACCTCTCAGCAACACATCCACAGAGATTGCTTGGAAACCTTTTATCTGACCCTTGAACTATTGGGAGGCACCATGCAACGGGGATATAGCAAAAGACCAGCAAGAAAACATTATCCCCCTCCAAAATAATTAGTGCTCAGGGAGTGTAACTTTAGGAACCTCAAAGGAAGGCAGTTTAAAGAGAAGCAGGCTGTTTGGTTTTTCAGGGTTTTTTTCCCGATTCCCTTCATAAAGGGAATCTCAGATTCTACCCCTGATGCACATGAAGAACCAAAAAATGGAGGAACACAGTCCATCCTCCGTCCTTCTTTCATGTTGTCACCCCTAAGAACTTTACAGACCAATGCTCCTGCTGCTGATGTCCCCACAAAACATTGGTGGGCTAGAAGAACCACCTTCCATCAAAGTGCCAAGTCCCATTTCCTGCAAAGACAAACACAAAAGGCTCTCTGGGTAGGTGAGAGTTTCTCCTTATCCTGCCTGGAAGCAGCCCTCAGTTGTGTTTCACTCCCCAGCTCCCTAACATATAAAATGTTATAACACAGTAACACTGCTTTTCACAAAAAGAACAGTTTAAGAAAAAATTATATAGAGAGATATATAAATATATAAATATCCACATGAAAACCAATGTACCAAACATTACTCGTCAGTGGCTTTTCCACCCTGCCTGTGCTACCAGCACTGGCTACTCAGAGGTAGACAGGAAGGTGAGGCTCTCAGGCTGTGCCAGCTAACAGGAATGGTTTCTGCACCTGAGCCATTTGTTTACTGAGAACATGAGAGTCTCTTGGGCTGCAGCAGGTTGAGGCAGCCTCAGAGCTGGCAGATAGAGCAAACAAGCCCACCGTGGCACAGCCCAGAACTGATGATGGTGCCAGGTGCACCCATTCATCTCAGAGCAGATTTCAGGTTGCAAAAGCTTGCTTGGGCCAGTCCCAAGGTCAGGGCACTGCTCAGGCTGCTTTGGCAGGAGCAGCCAAGGCAGGGGACAGCCTCATTCATCAACTTACGGCCAGAGCTAGAAAAGCTAGCAGCTGCTGCAGGCAGGCTGAGTATCCTCGTGAGTTGGCTTGGCATGTGGGGCTGCATTCCCTTCCTTGAAGTCTTACCAGGCTACTTGTAGAGAGCTTCTGATCTTGGCTTCACAGCAAGAGCCATCTGTGCTTAAATTCAGACACAAGTGTAACTTCTATTTTTTAAAGACTTGCTTGCTAAGATGTTCTCTGTATGCAGCATTATGTTTTTTCTACTTGTCCTCTGTGACAACAAACAACTTTATAAAGAACCCCAACAGCTTTCTGCAAGATCTTTGGCTTTGCTGACACTGCTGAGCAGCCTCATGGCTGGACTGAGGCAGGAATGAGGCTGTCCAGCTAATTCTGGCTGCCGCAGACAGGGGAGATCTGCCACTCGCTTGACCTTGCACAGGGCCACAGACTTACCAACTGGTGAAACGGGTCTTAGAAGCCAGCAGCAGTGGCTGAACACAAAGGAGCTGTCTCTTGCTTTGGTAGGTGGGAACAGAATACAAGGACCAAGCTGGGTGAAAACAGCAGCCAGGCTGGGAGCCACACTGAGCACTGAGCCATAGACAGCAGTTTCTGTTGGTTTGTTCAGGGGTCAGAACAGGTGAGGCCTCTCAAACTGTGTTTACGTGGCAGCGCTGCACCATTGCTCCCTGCCAGCCAACAAGCTGTGAAGTTCTGAAGTAACTTACCCTGGGGTATACAGCAAAACTTGAAAGGAGGGTCAGCGTTCTGTAGAAAATAGCAACTGCATTTTAGGGAATGGCCACGTGTGGAGACAGCCCCCAGCTCCAGCGAGCCCATGGCAAACAATTAAACTGCTGCCTACCATGTGAGTGCCAGAGTTTGGCCCGTGCAGGAGGCAGCGGCTTAATCGGCTGCAATAGCCTTGCCAGGAGGCTGGGAGGCCTCATGCTGGAGCAAATAAAGCCTGCAGGCGTTTGTGCTCCTGCTACCTGCCAGGCATTTAATCCCGACTCTGGCAGATGTTAATCCTGGCACGGGTGGCTCCTAAAGAGCTTTCCTCTGAACTGGTCACCAGGTGCCCCGGGCAGGGAGCGGGGTGAGGAGGCCTTGCCGCATGGCCCACGGTTGGACTTCCAGTCGGTGCCAAAGCCCACAGGCTGTGGATTTTCCTTCTAACATTCGGAGCCTGCTTACAGAACCAGCCAGGAGGGGAGGGGAGAAGAGCCTCGGTTAAAATTTAAACACTTGTTCAAACAAAGACATCAGTAACCAGGGCAAAAAGGAAAAGCAGGACAGGAGCCTGACACAAAGCATGGCTCTGAGCACAAGGGGCCGAGGCCAGCGAGCACCTGCAGCCCCACCGAGCTCGGCCAAGGGTCCATCCCCATGCTTTTAATATCTGTCTCTATTCTGCTGCCTTTATGAGGAGTGAGTCATCATGCGTCAGCCGACGATGGGCTTTACACAATTATTTATTTATGTTGAACCCTCTTCCCCACCCCCGCACATCCCTGATCTCATCCCCCTCAGAAAACAGATGCTTTATGGAACAAGAGTGGAAAGCTCCATCCCAAAGGCAGCCCGTTGTCACTGCACACAGGCACAGCTGCCCACCAGGTGGGACAGGGCCAGGCACCTGCACTGGCATGCAGAGCCCTGGACAGAGCATGAAGCTCTCAAAAACCAGGATGGAAAATGTCCCTACCCAGCCCCAGCTACCACAAGAACTCTCCCTGATATATCCCTTGGCCATCAGCCACACGTTCTCCTCCCCTTGCTGCTCAAAGCAGCGCTGCATCAGGAAACAAACACTCAGCTTCTGGTATGGGACGTTGCAGGCAAACAGCCTGCAGCCATGCTGGTGGCCCCAGAGCAGCCCAGTGTCACTGCTGTCCCCAGGGTAAGCAGCTGGGGCAGAGCTGGCACTGTAGGCTGCAGGGAGAACGGGGGGCCAGCAGGGGCCACTGAGTTGGATTTCCCATGTGAAATCCCCTACCTGCTGGAATGGACTCACTCCAGACTTTCCCAGTGCAACACCAAATCCTGCTCTCACTGCTCATCGTCACTCATAGCAAGGCTCTGATTTCATGGGCCTAAGAGCAGAACACAGGAGTTACTGGTGAGAAAGGAACTCATCCTTCCTAGAAGGCAACAGGAGAAAAAAGTTCCTCTAAGAGAAAGGAACTCATTCCTCAGCACTGACACCCAGCTGTCTCCATGTTAAAACTCATTTCCCAAGGAGAGAAAGCTGCAAGGTGGCAACTGTGCCTTAGCATGCTGCCCCAGGAAACGCAAAGCAGAGGACAACCAGCCCCAGGACATCTGTGCTGAACGCCCTGCCCTGCTCTGGGAGCAGTGGGGCACCACAAGCAGGTGCTTCCTGTCTGCAGGGTGAACTCGCTGCCTGCACACAACCCCTGGTAATGCACTTCGGGTTTGCTCAGAGCAGCCGCAGCCTCTCCCCAGCTAGGTGATGGCAGCGGGGAAAACCAGCATAGCATCGCCTGCACATCCGCAGCTCTTCACCTCTTCAAACCACCCGTGCGCTTCCCATCTCGGGTTGGCAGATGGGGCAGCTCTAAATGCTAATCTCAACAGCCATTACGCTCTTAAGGAGCGCCAGAGCAGCCAACCACAGCCCAGCCACCCCGCACAAAATGGCGTCGCCATGGCCGGCAGCCCAGGGCACGAGTGGTGGCTCCTACCTGCACTCAGCGCCCACTGCTCCTCCAGCCAGGGGAACCCACTGCTCCTCCTTCCTCTGCAGCACAGGCGTGCAGCAGCTGTTGCCACGTTCAGCAGGACTTTACAACAAAAGTCACCTGGAAGTGCGGAGAGAGCTGTGCTTCAAAAGATTTATTACATATATTTGTACATATTTTACATGAATGGAATGTTAACGTACAACCTAAAAATCAATAAAAAAATATTTTCATCCACGATTACGTACTGGCAGACCATCGAAAAGAGTACCTTAGGACAACTGAAGTCAACTTGCAATCATACTGCTCAATTAAAAAAAAAAAAAAGAGCACGTGTTACATCAGACATTGCAAATTACATTCTGATTTCTGCTCAGGGTAACGAAGGAAGACATCTTGTCCATCACCACCGCATGGCCGTGCGGCATGGCAGGAGCACACAGCTCACCACTGCTCCACAGGCAGGGCTGGGAAGAGGCATAGGAAAGGGGGACATGGGCTGTGCTCCAGCAGCAGGGCGGCCTGCCAAGTGGGAAGAGAGGCAGAGCGAGACTCTTG